CTTTTCTTACGGCGGCAATGCTTGATTTTCCCATCATGCACGCACAAGTCAGTCGCCCGATAGGCAAGCGCGCCGTTGGTAGCGCGTCGCCTCCAAGTGCATCGCGACGTCCTCGCGAGGACGTTTCGGCGCATGTGCCCGAGAAAAATATGTTCGCTCGGCATCGGCGTCGTTTCGGGGCAACGAGAGGAGAAATCAGATTTGGTTTGTTGGCACTGCCAAGTGATCAGCGTCCGATTGGAACGTACAGGTCGCCCACCCCAAAACGGACGAGCAGCGACAGAGGCTCCAGGAAGCGTGTCGGGACATTCTTCTCTTCAAGAATCTGGAGCCTGTGAGTACCCCCTTTGTCCCACGCGTCAATAACGCCGTCGACGTTTAGCTCTGCTCAAAGCAGAACAAAACGGTCAACCAATTTCAACAAAAGGGCTCGATGAATGTGCGGAGATGCGGTTTTGCCGATTTGGGCTTGCCCCGACCGAGCAATCGGAGGACGTAAGAAAAAAAAAAACAATGCGGGCCGAAATCAAGTGCTTCCTGTTGCCGAGAGAGTGGAAGAAGCGTCGCGGGCCATCCGATTGTGAAAGGAAGAGGAGATCGACGGGGCAAGACGTCAGCAGCATCCACGCGTGCGGTGGGCGGCACGTCGTGACGACCGTTGGATGACCGATGTCGCGTTCTCTGCCGACCCAGGAAGAGATGGCGCAAGTGTTGGACGCCATGTTTGAGAAGTTCTGCGCCGAAGGCGAACACGTCATTGACCAGGATGATGACGGGGACAACTTTTATGTGATTGAGAGGTAAGGTCACACGACCGCCTGCGCCTTTTGGGGCTTTCTGTCCCAAGGATGGCCGCCTCCAGAGCGCAGCGCGCCCGCGCGGGGCCTCGCTATGTCGACGGTGGCCCCTGGCCCGCGCTCCATCAAGGGCTCGTATAAATGAAGCGCGATATAGCGAGGGATCACTTTGTGGCCCCTTCTCCCTCTTTTGCCGTCACGACATGGGAAACTCGCGCATAGCATTACTTGGAAGAAATGAAAAGAGCCCAACTCCGAGCCTGCAGGCGACGTTTCCGACACGTGAGGTTTTCGGTCCAACGCGTACGGCAAAAAGAACTTCACATTGTACCTTGGAAGACGAAAACGTGCAACCGAGCTCGCGCGAAACACCGTCGATCGACAGGCTGACCCAAGTGAGCGCGGATTCCGAGACCAAACGTTTCAGCGGCCGCACCGAGACCGCGTACGGCGACACTCGCGGCCGCCCGCTGTCGTCTCTCCTCTCCCCACGCGTATGTCCGATCTTTGTCTTTTTTTCCCTCCTCAGGGGGACCTTCAGCGTTCTTGTCAATGTGGAGGGCGCCGAGAAGCTGGTGGGTCGCTACGACAACCGCGGCAGTTTCGGGGAACTGGCGCTGATGTACAACACGCCCAGGGCGGCCACCGTCGTGGCCGCCTTGCCCGGAGCCCTCTGGTGCCTCGTGAGTGACCGGCGCTCGGCGAGCACGTCCGTCCTATTCCGTTGCCGCGCGTCCGTTTTCATTTGAGCTGGAACCCAGCCGAAAGCTGGCTTTATCCATGGGGGGGGGCAGAGATCGGGTCGGCCCGCGAATACGACTCGTGCATTCAACAAAGATGTTTGCAAAAATGTTGAGGAAAAGAAACACTGGCGACAGTCAAATCAAATAATAAAACCAGTACATCGAGAAAGAAAGCGCTTTGGCACAGCCTCCGTACGAGACGTACTGCTGGAATTGTGTGGTGGGTGTGTTCCTTTAAGGGGTGGGCCCCAGTGAGCAGTTCCGTGTGCGTCTGAGCGCGTGGGGCTGAGTTGCGGCTTCGAGCGGCTTCTTGGCCGTATTTTTGTTTTGCATTTGTGCCTTTGCGACGGTGGCTTTCCTCGCCTCGAGGAGGAGAAAAGTATCTCGATGTATTTTTTTCCGATGCATATATAACGGGCGCAGATTTTCACATTTCCTGGGCCCACCCGCCGTAGACGTGAACCTCGAGTCCTCACTCTGGTGTCGTAAATTGGACCTAAAAAGCCTTGCCGGCTAACCAAGTGAGCCACAAGGGGGCAGTAATGCGCATGAAAATCTGGTCGCCCGGCTTCAGGCAAGAGTGACTGCCCGCGCCCACATTTGAACGGAAGTTGTCTATACATCAGCAAAAATGTTTCCGATATTTTTCTTTTCTCTCTCCCCAGGACCGTCTGACGTTTCGGAGGATCATCGTAAAGAACAACGCCAGGAAGAGGAAGTTGTACGAGGCCTTCATTGAAACGCTTCCGCTGCTCACATCGCTGGAGGTCGCCAACCTTTTTTTTTGGGCGTTTGGGCGGGGGGGCTTGGCTGGCTGCAGCATGCCGTGACACTGAAAAATCGTGTGAAGCTTGTCGCTTTTCTTGACTGTATTGATTGATTTCTTGGCTTATTTTGTCTGTCCGCAGCTTTCCGAGAGGATGAAAGTGGTTGACGTGATCTCCACTAAAGTGTTCTGTGACTCGCAGCGGATTATTGCGCAGGTAAAATTTGTTGCATATCCTAAAATCGGTCCATTCAAATGTCTCCAACCGTGTATTTTTAAAAATGATTTGTTCGTATCGGCAATGATTCAAACATTCACCGGGGAGGCGTCAACTTGTGTCACGCGTTCATTCTCATTTTGTATTTCATTATTTAATGAAGGAATTATTGAACAAATACATTTTCTGTCTTCATCGATTACAAATGATTTTTTTGTACAAACACAAAAAAAAAAAAAGTATTCTATTAAAAACCAAAAAAATCCAATAGTAATAATAATACTTGGAATAATCTCCAATGACCTTGTTTTGTTGTCAGGGTGAGTTGGCTGATTGTTTCTACATCGTGGAGTCTGGCCAAGTTCGGATCACCATGAAGAGGAGCAGGGTGAGTTCCACGCTTTTGGTTTTTCCCTTCGTTTTGATTGTGCGGCGACGCTCGGGCTCTCAAACTGGCAAGACCCATCTTCATCATTTGCGAGAGATGACCTTGACGAAAGGACTGAAGTTCAAACAAAATATTTGGTCTTCCAACAATAAAGTCTCGATTTTTGTTGTTTCCCAAAAGGGCTCCGATGACCGGAATGAAATCTTTTTCTAGTCTCTGGCGTTAGCGTTGGCCGGACCCCAAAGTCTTTGCGTCGGCGCTCCTCTTTAGCGCGCGTTGCGTGCGCTTCTCTGTTTGCAGACGAAAAAGGAGCAGGATGAAGAGGAAGTGGAAATCGCCACGTGCTCCCGGGGCCAGTACTTCGGGGAGTTGGCGCTGGTCACCAACAAGCCCAGAGCCGCCTCCGCCTACGCCGTGGGCAGCGTCAAATGCTTGGGTAAATGCCGTTCCGGTCCGGGGCTGCGCTCGCCTCACTTTTCTCAAGTGTCGTTTTGCGATCGCGGTGCGGATCCGCGTTCCCGACTCGGGTCGACTCGACTCCGGTCTGTTTCCGCAGCGCTTTCAAACCACCGCCGCCGTGTACAAAGTGCCGTACGTGGAGCAAGAAGAACTCGTACCGATAACAAAGGACGCCGAGAGAACACAAAGAACGCAGTCCAACTCAAAGTCAAAAGCCAAAGAATAGAAATGAGGTTTGTTTTTTTTTTTTGCTGGGCAGCGAGGGGGCTTGCCCAACGTTCGTTCCGCCCCCTCGGAGCTTCCGCTTAGTTCTCGCTACCTCTAATAGCGTCTGGTCCCACGCAGGCCCGAGGCAGCGGGCGGGAGCTCCCGGAGGGAAGGTGGGGCCGGCCCGTTTCAAGGTTGGAAAACAAATCGTAAGATCTTCAAAAGTGAAGCCGTGCCACAGTGGGAGGGATGCGCTTCCTCCTACCAGCTCCAGTTAGGCGAGCGGCAGCATTTTGGACCAACTGGAGATGCTCGATGGAGGATTGGCTGACCCCAAAGTCAAGTGCGTGACGGTCATCCGGCCCAGATGTCTGTGACGAAGGCACGAAAGGCTGTTTGGGGAGAAAGGAGAGGCGAGACTTCAGGCAGCTGCCCAAGATGAAAGAAGCCGGAGAGAACGACGGCGCCCGTTTGCCTCTCCGATTTCAAATCAAGATACGGAGCCGGGGAGGGGGGGGCCCGAGTCCCGAGGGCAGGGGATGGATGAGGGCCACCAGGACTTGACTACAGGAGAATGGCATGGCGCTGCTTTGCTCCCCTGGTGCCTTGACTCAGAAGTTGAAATTGTTTCACGTCCACGTTTGCGACTCAAAACACTTCGATCGTCTTTCCCCTTAGACACGAAAGGCCGGATCTCGGTGAGCGGCACGGGATCGCCCTTAGACACGAAAGGCCGGATCTCGGTGAGCGGCGCGGGATCGCGAGCGCGCCGCCGATGTCGTTCCTTTTCCTCAGGGTTCGTACGGGGTCGCAAAGGACGTTTGCCAACCAGACAAAGTTTCAAGCTGTTTAAGCGAGCGGGCGCGCGCACGTTCCCCCGAGCGGCGGCGGCCTATCTCGCAAAGGGCTAACGGCGTTTTCTTGCGCTCCTCAGTGATGGACGTGAAAGCCTTCGAACGTCTCCTGGGCCCGTGCATGGACATCATGAAAAGGAACATTGCCAACTACGAGGAGCAGCTCCTGACGCTGTTCGGAAGTCGCGCCGACATCGAGCAACGGTGCGCCTGAGACCGCTCGGCGGAAGGCTTTTCGGCCGCCCCTCCCGTGTCCGCTTCCAGAAAAAAAAGGGCGAAAGAAACCAAAAGAGCTTTTCTTACAGGACGATCACGACGAGACGTAGGTGTTTTGCAGTCGAGTCACGTACGCCAAAGCGGAGTCACTTGACGCTCCCTTTCCATCCGCATTTGACCTTTGTGGGTGTCCCATTTTGGTTCCGGCGTTGGCTGAAGAGGCACTTTTTTTTTTTTTTTTTTTTGCCTCAGACAGAATGTCAACATGCTGGGCCCTCAACATTTGTATTTCTGTGTTAAATGTGCGTGCCCAGTGGCCTACTAGTATTCTTTCGCAAAAAAAAAGAAAAAAAAAAAGAAAAAAACTTCAGACAGATAGCGCAGTAGTTGTTTTTTTAAGACTTGCCAACACAGTGTTGTCCAATTTCATCGGAAGGAAGTACATGCAATTGGTTCAGTTATTCTCATGTGTGGCCATGTTTAATTTTTTTTTTTTTGGGGGGGGGGGAATCTAAGTCCTGCTGATTTTTGGGGGGGTGTGTGGGCCAGACGATGTTGATGTCTACCTCGAACGACGACAACAATGTTCGGGAGCGCCCATCAATTTGAAAGTGAATAGAAGTGAACTTTTCTGGGTGTTGTCCGCTTCAAATTAAAACAAATCAAATGTGACAATAATTTTTCTTTTCATCCCTTGTGCAGGTACTTTTGTTTTCTTCACCGCAAACCCAGTTCACTAAGCCATCATGATGACTGTATGTTTCACTTTCCTTGTCAATAAAAAAAAAAAAAACTCCTTTGCATCACTGTGTTTCCTGTGTTGTCCCGGCACATTCATTCTTTTCAAAATTTCAATGGAAGGATGAGATTTTATGGCCAAAATGTCATCCAGGGTCAAGCCTTCAAAATATGGCCAAAAAAATTGGGCAAAAATAAGTAAAGAATACCCCCCAAAAATATTAACCAAAAAAATGACCATACAAAAGACAAACAAATACTGACAAAAATCTGAAAATGTGTCAATCATACAAAAGATAACTAATATGGGGACAGAAAACTGACACGATCGGCAAAAAACAACTAACAATTAACACTGAAAAATATTTGACTAACCAGACAAAAGCTTGGACAAACAATACACAGGCAAAAAAAAAGGAAAAACGAGCAAGAAAAGTGACAAAAAGTAACAAATCTGAGAAAAACAAAAAAAAAGTCAAACAGCTGAAAAATCAGGCAAAAAGAAGGAAGAAGAAAGCTGACAAAAAGTTTGATCATTGGGACAAAGACAAACCAAAACATTCTTCTATTTTTCATGGACACGGTCGGGTCACGTGGCTCAAGAATGCACGCGGACTTCCGGGCAACTTGACTGCTTTTTCTCATGATGGTTTTCGATTTGTGGTCTGAACGCGCTCGTCATCACCATGTTCACGTCAACTGGTTGATACGCAGTTACTCATTGCAAGCATGTATTGGTATGTGAACGAGTTACGCGGTCGTGTACTGGCACATAGCGTACTTGAGCGCTTGCCCCATTGGCGATTTAAAAAAAAAAGAAGGGAAAAAAAAACATCTCGGTATTGTTCACCTTGTTGCCAATCAGCTGTTTGTGGGCGGGGACAGCGGTGGACTTTTGTCCAATCAGACGACGGTCAACAAACTTCACTCCTCCCTCAATGTTTTTCCCCAACGCAGTATCCAATAGAATCGCGACGTTTGAGTTAGTGACAGCGCAGTTATCCAATGGCGCGTGTTAGTTGGAGAACCTCCTCCGAGTCCTCGAGTGAATACCACAGAGAGTTGCCTAATGGCGACGCGTCTGGTAAGTCAGTGTTCGCCTACTTTTTTTGGTCTTGCCCTCGAAGAGATAAAGCTCCAAAGTCATTTCGAGCGGGACAACCGCTGACGCCGCGTGTTTGCGTCGCCGCCGAGAGACGTTAGCGAGGTTGTCAAACGGTTGTTGGACGGCGAACGGCAGGTTGAACGTCGTGTGTGTGGTTTTTTTTCCGCCTCTCGCATCGCCTCGCTTGCCTTGTTTATGTCACTGACAGCGATGCAAATGTGGCGAGCCAAGTCGCGGAACCGGTTCGATTCGCTTGACATCGTATGTCCCGATGTCATTCATTAGCAAGGGGGCCAGCCAGCGAGGTTGCGTCATGCCCCAACTTGTTGACATTCTTTTGTCCCCCCTATTTAAAAACCGAGCCCGGCGGGGGGGGGGGGTCACGTGACCGCCCCCATACCTTCACTCTCGGTGGCACTTGCGCGCCTCCTCTGCGCATGTGTGAAAATCAAGCGTAAAAAAAAAAAAAAAAACCGGGGCTATCATACAAAAATCGGCCGCATGTCGGCGAAAGCCGAATTTGTCCCCCTTCAAGCTTGTACTCGTTGTTTAAAAGCCTCACGTGACAAAACGTTCAGTGCGCTTTCTGCCACGTTTAACAGCCCGACGGAAATCCTTTTTTTTTTCCTCATCACTGTCACTTTTTTAATGGAGAAACGTTTCCGCACTCCAATATGATTGTGGCATGTCACACTGGCGATTGATTCGCTGAGCAAGGACCCATTTCTTCAGCCTGTTGTCGTTTTGCTGGCAGAGGTTGGAACGCGATGCCAAACGAGTTTGAAAGATACATGAAGGATCTCGCCAACTAAGTTGGGAGCCAGAGCGAGTCCCTTACCAATAGTGCGCCTTCCCCATCATTCCCGCATGGCCCTTGGGCCTCTCGGTCAGAGGCATTCCTTTAACCGCCGTTGTCGTGCAGCAAAGGAAGAGAGTCGAAACGGCACCGATGCCCATTTCTTTCTTTCTTGATTTTTTTTTTCCACTTTCCCTTTTTGCCCAAAAAGCAGGTGATGTGATGACGGAATCCCAGCGAGTTGACGCCCACTCCGCCGGTTGAAGAGCAAGCGAGACCCGATCGATGCGCCAGGATGGACGAGATGTACGACCCGCTCAAGTGTAACGAAGATTTGCCGTCCTCGCCCGGCTGCCACATGGACTTCGGTAAGAGAGGCGCCCCGTTCGCGTTCGCGTGACCGTTGCGCTCGAGAGCGATCCGCGGTGGGTGAAAAAAGCTGCGGCGTGTGCAGAGAGCCGTTTGCCCAAAAAAGTTTTCGCCGTCCCGCATACTTTGAGCCCACGTTTCAAATTCTTCGCCGGCGCCACATGAAATGCGAGACGAGCATCTTGCATCGCGTTTGGAGGAGGGAAGGATGACTTGCCGGCACCGGAGGCTGGCCGTTCACGTCAATGAGTGGGGAGGGCGCCGAAAGTCTGCACCTTGAGGCAGTCGCCAACCGATAAAAGGGAACGCGGCATTTTGGAGCCAGCCGTCGCTCACAAACGCGCCGGCCGGCGAGCTTTCACCGTCTCCCTTCCGTGCAGACGACATGCCGGAGCTGCAGGCGGTGGAAGAGGACCGCAGGTCGCCCGGCGTGTTCCGGCTGGGCGCCGGAGTGTCGCACCAGGAGCCCGGCGGCGGCGGCGGCGGCGGCTGGCTGGCCGAGCTGGCCAACATCGCCACCAGCCCTCAGAGCCCGCTGCTCAAAGACGCCCCCTACAAAAGGTGCGCCCTTTTCTTTTTTTCCGCTGCGGGTCCAGGGAGAGCGAGCGCTCGGCTCGTGTGCAGGTTGGGACCCCCCAGCGCTGTGACAATGACAAGCAACTCTCGTCGAGTATCGATCCCTTTGCTTTTTCGTCCCGGGTTTTTCACTTTTGTCTGGCTGAGTTTGCCTCTTTTTGGCCTGTTTAGTTGTATGATCTCCCCCATGTTTTATTGTCAGCGGCTGTCTTTTTGGGAGGGGGTCATTGTCCTTTTGACCAACAATTGTATTTTTTGCGTCTGTATTTCAGTCAAGTCCTTTTTATTTGATTTTTCAAGTCCGATCTTTTGGACAGCGCATTTTTTGCCAGATTTTCGGCCATTGATCGATCGGCCCGTCGTAGGAGTCGGATTCCTCGGGCTGTCAGGGAGTTTGAACCGCAGTCGCATTTTTGCTCCTATCGCAAGGCCCGAAAATGGTCCGAGCTCACCCGTACGGTAACTCGAAGGCCGGCGCCTTCTGATTTTCTCGTGAGTTTGTCCGCCAGTGTGGAGGGCGCGCGACGAGCCGTTGAAGCGGGACGGAGGAAACGCTTTTAACTGGTCGTCTTTGTTGCGCTCTTTCCTCGCAGATCGTCTCCGGTGCACATCTTTGGCAACAGCAACAGTCTCCATTCCTACGCCCGCCCTCCTCTGGCCAGCAGCGCGCCCACCCCCTCCAGAGGTCACCTGAGGGAGCGCAGGCGCGTCAGGGTAACTCTTGGTTTTTTTTTTTGGTCATTCCCAACCCCCCCTGCTCCCGCGTCGGCGTCGCTCTCACGCCGGGTCATCGCCCCGCTCCGCAGGCCAGCAGCGAGTCCGAGTCGGGCGTCTTCTCCATGTCGTCGTCCTTCTCCGATGACGAAGACATGGCCTGGTCCCACTCGTGGCCGTCCACCGCCTGGCACTGCTTCCTCAAAGGTTCCTCGGCGACACGACACCTTTTTGCACAAACTATCTTGTCGCACTCCATTCGTAAGCCCGAAGCCACGAGGGAAAAGCCGCCGCAAATGTAGTCGCAAGTCCACTGGGGAACGCGTGCGTCGACTTGGCTGAGACGAACGATTTGGTGCGTTGCAGGAACCCGCCTCCGCTTCCATCGCGGTCCAAACGTGGAGTGGCAGGAGGCCGACGAACTCGGCGATTCCGACGAGGATTGGGACGACGAGAGCCTGACGCCGTCCTCCTCCTCGCTTCAGGTTGGCCGCCGACCGTCGGCGAGGTCTTTTTCGTTTTCCCCGGCCGACCGCGAGGTCGGGGGCAGTCGTGAGGCCGACGCGCTGACCGAGAGGCGCTCCCTGTTCTTGCGAGGGAGGGCGCCGCCTGCCCCGATTCAAAAGCGAGCAAAACATGAAGAGAATTCTCATGCCACCTAATCCGAAAGCGGTTCCCTCTGTGACATGCCGACTCTTTCGTCTGCTTGTGTCGTTTTTGGGGGCCGAGTTTGACTGTCTCGCTGTTGAAGACGAGTCCGTTTTGGTCAAGAGCTTTGCTCGTGTTTTTTTTTTTCCCCCCAACATTTGCCCCAACCAAAAAAAAAAAAAGCATGAATCTGATGGTGTTGATGGTCAGGTTGTTATTATTATTATTATTATTATTTTTTTGGTCCTTATTTGGAGTCCGATTTTTGCCCGATAGTCTTGGCGGTTCGCGTTGTCTTTTGGTCTGCGTTTTTGTCTCATTTTGTCTGACACCGCGTGTTTGTCGTCACTGCCACGTCATTGTCCTCTTGTTCCTTTTGAAGTAGCTGCGCTCGATTTGATCATTTGCACCATTTCAGAGATTCGGCTCGGAGGGCTTGAAGCTGATCAGCCACGAAGAGACGCTGTCTTACGGCCAGGCCGTACTCCAACTCACCTTTGACCCCGGCTCCCCCGAAGACGGCCTTCTCAGCGCCGAATGCCGACTGGACCATCCCTTTTTCGTGCGGGGTAAAGGTACGCCCGCCGACGGCGACGTCGCCGCTCGCGTCGCTCCGCGTCTCGCGTCCGTGTGATTTCACGGCACGTCGCGCCGTCCGTCTGCGCCGGCAGGGTGGGCCTCCTTTTATCCGAGCCTCACCGTGGTGCATCACGGGATTCCTTGCTACGAGATGCAGCTGGGGGACACCTGCCTGCCGCCCAACCACCCCGATGCCATTAAGTGTGACGACTCGGTGGTTTTTGATACCTTCAGAAGGTAAGGGTGCCGCGGGCGCCGCGGCTTTTTTCGCTTCCGAAACCTCCCCGGTCCAGATCTCGAACCGAAGCCAAGCACGCGTGCAAAACGATCCATCCGTCCCTCCCTCGTCGAGGGACTCGGCCTGTGCCTCTGACGCTCCGCCTCGGGGCGCTTGGAGTCACGGCATCTCAGCCCGATTCGCTCCCGAGTGAAGAAGGTCAACTTTGCGGCGATCAATGTTGGATTGGTTCCTGAAACAAACCCCAAAAAAACCCCAAACGCCACGCTCGCCGAATTCAAAGAGATGCTTGTTGCGCGGCGATGACGTTTTGGCCCTAAGAAATGTGGGCCTCGCTTGGGAAAGGCTTCGTCGCGGAGGAGTGCCTCAAAGGAGCCCGAAGCGGAATGTCGCCCGTGCTTGTGAGCACTTTTGGAATCGGTCATGAGACCAAGCGTCACGTGGTGGCTCGAAGCACGTTTGGCACCGTGACCCGGAATGAGACCTTTTTCTTCATCCGGGGGATGGCGGGCGGGGCGGGGCCCGGTCCGGTGAGGGGCACGGGTGCCGGCCGAGGCGCCGAGCTTGCAGCTCTTGGCAAAAACTCGCCATCCGCCCGTCCGGGTCTGAGTCCGAGTCCGAGTCCGAATCGAGGGATGGCAAACGCGGTTGCGTGTCTGCCTCGCAGTTACGACTTCACCCCGCTGGACTCGTCGGCGGTGTACGTCCTGAGCAGCATGGCGCGCCAGCGCCGCACCTCCCTGTCCGCCGCCGCCAGTCCGGACCGCGACAAGGCGGAGCGCTCGGCCTCCCCCCAGTCGGCGGG